TTGGGCATGCGGGAAGGGAAATCACAGACGCGCGCTTTCACTCGTAACGCGTTATGATTGAACACAGTCTCCCCAACTCCATATCCCCCCTCCCACTCCCCCCGCATCCCGCCACGCCGTCCCCAGTTCACCGATTTCATCGTCACGATCAGCCACGATCTGTTCACTGCTGGATGATGACCTCCCCTCGTGGTGTAACAATCCATCTATCTCACGAACACGTAACGGGAGCTCTCGTTTGCTCATTCGAAGCGGGGGGTGCAGTGCCGGATTATTATTCTATGAACAAAAGTAGCTACATATGTAGCTACGGGCCTCGCACTTTCAAGGGCCCCGCGCTAAATGCTTTCAAAAGCTATCAATTCCGGATCAGTGATTCTGCACTTGCTCTATTACTATAGTACTATACTGCCTTACACTTTAATGAACGACTGGGTGTTTATGTTAGCGATTTGTCGTATTATCTGGTCGTGTAGCAAATGAAAAAATACAAGAACTTTACAATGCAAGTTAAAAATGGATGTGTTTTAGTATTTATGGTTTTTTTAGGGCCCCTTTAAAACATATGCTACAGGCCCCGCACTAACTTAATACGGCACGGGGGGGGGGGGGGGTCTCTACATTGGCTGCCACTCCACCGCTAGTCCCAACCACCGGCCACCATCCGTACGGGGCAAAAGAAGTTTTCAACGTGCATACACATCCTCGTCTCGCGATGTGTCCTACCCAAGCCCCCACTCGTACTTTTGTTAGAGCAGTCAAAATTGTTTACCTCCGCTTAAATACAAATTAGGTTGCTATACGCTGCACGCGCCTGATGATTGGTAACAAAACACGTGGCACGTGACGTAAGTGAGCGTTGATCCACGTTACAATGAGAGTTCGTGTATGCATGTATGTACGTATGTATGCATGCGCGAGACGATGAAAATACTCCAAATACGTAGTGCGATTACTGCGTTGGCAGGGGTGCACGGGCATAATTAACAAAACAACAAACAACCTCAACGCATTCGTCAATAACACTTCCATAAAGGGAAGTACAATTACAATAGACGACGTTTCGGACAATGGTCCTTATTCCGAGCAGAGACGTCAGTTTTATTCTGAGACTAAAATGACTCGGTGCTCTTTCGCGAAGCCGGTGTTGGGTACACATTGGTCCAGAAGGCGGGCGGCGAAAAATGTACTCTTATTTATAGGTGGTGACACAGATGTGTCTGTCTATGTACTGATTAAATTGCAGCGTCGAATATCTAACCAGACCCAATCGTTTGCATGCGTTCCGTGTGAGATATGAATATATTAATATAAGATAGAACATGTACAAGAGGGGCAGTAAAAACGTTTTGGAGAACGAGGTTAATGAAAGACGAAATTATACACAATGACAATTCCTCTTGCACCGTAACACCCATGCAGACAACCCAAAAGGTTCGTAATCATTGAATCCTCAACTGACCCATGTACGGGGCTGCATTGTGGGCAGCCAGAAGGTATCCTACACGTGTTAAACTGAGAAGGTAGCACAGCAACATTCCGTGGTTGTATATTGTACGGTACTTCTAAGTCCCATCGCATCGCTAGAATAACCGCTACGATCCACATGGCGTATGGAGAGGCCCTCATCCGTTTTCCAGAAGCAAAGGGCTGTGGGTACATAGAGGATAAATACATTTATTTTATAATTTTCTCTAACACTACCCGATCCAATATTCAAAAAAATATTATTATTCATTGTTTACCCGGGAAGAGCTCACGTTTTAACAGGGTCCTGTTTACGATGTTAGGCGAATTCCAATTAGCTTTTTTTGCACGTGGAAGGAAACTAGAAGTGGCTGTAAAAAAAGTCATACAAACGAGGCAATAAACCCAGAGAACGTCGCACAAACACGACGGTAACCCACTTGCTTTACTGCCATCAATCTACAACCTTCTAGTTCTTTCAGGCAGTTGTTTCACACAAAGGCAAAGATCTCCCGTACAGCCCGACGGACTGTTGGGGCAAGTGCTGTTCTTAGAGAGCACCTTTGAAGGCCGGCACGGCACACGAGGAGGTGGGTGGCCAACACCACGTCCGGCCGCGTTTGTCTTCCTAGTAGCGATGTTCTACAACCCCCACCAGATACTTATTGAAGGCTGAGTCGACCTAGGAGAGGCCCAGGACCGGTTCAGATAATCGTCGCTGGTGTTGGCCGTGAGCGGGAATCGAACTCAGATCGCCAGGTTCGTAGCGCAGCGCGCTCACCGCTCCACTACCGCTCCCCACACACGCACAATCTCTGCGTGATCAATAAATACCACCACGCCGTATCGGCAATGAGGGTTGTTTGACCATATTTGGCCACTCTGGTCGCCGTGGCTTGATGAACGCAGGGAGAGACCCCGAGACCGTTTCAGCCCAATCACTCAACAATGGTGGCGAGCCTTGGCTGGGAATTGAGCACATAACGCTAATCACTGCGCCACCGCTCCACCCTGTAAGCGTTATTTATTTCATTAACATACTATATTTAAAAAAAAAATATCTACACGTGTGCGCGCGTGTAATCTCTCCATTCTGATCATTTCCTGCGCGTAATAGTCCTGGCGACCCCTGCTTTTATATCGGGCGCGGGTTGTAATTACTACCTCAATAGGCTCGTCAGGGGGCAATAAGCGACGCGCCGATATTATAATGGTGTGTAATGGGGGGCAGGGGGATACTGGGGGGCAGGGAGGGAGGCAGAGGAGGTAGGGAGCGGGCGGGGCGGGGGGGAGGGAAGAGTGGGGGCGGGGGACGAGCGCCGCTTCCGCGGTTATTAGGACGACGGGGAAATTACGGTGAGAGTTAATGAGGCTTGATGAGGTATGACGTGTGACAAAGTGTTTAATCCGAGCGAGCGGCTGAGAGGGCGGTCGTTATGCGCTGCGTGAGTCGGTGTGTTGTGTCTTGTGTGCGCGTGCTCTGTGCGCGCGTGCGCGTTTGCTGCCAGGTGTGTTCTTGTCTACTTGCTATGTCTGTGCGCGTCCGTGTGTGTGTCTGCGCACGTGTGTGTCTGCGTGTGTCTGTGTGTGGGGAGCGGTGGTGTAGCGGTTAGCGCGCTGCGCTACGAACCCGGCCACCCGAGTTCGATTCCCGCTCACGGCCAACACCAGTAACGATTATTTGAACCGTTCCTGGGCCTCCCCTAGGTCGACTCGGCCTTAAATGAGTATCTGGTGCAGTTTCTAATAAAACAACAACAAAAATCGCTAATAGGGAGACAAAGGCGGCCGGGCGTGGTGTTGGCCACCCACCCCCTCGTGTGCCGTGCCGGCCTTCATACGTGCTCGCTTACAACACTTGCCCTAACAGTCTGTTAATATTATAGGGGGGGGGGGGTATGTGTGTGCTTAGTGCGTGTCTATTTCTTGTGTGGATTTTGAGCCAATGTAGTAACTGGTTATTATTGGTTGTACCTGCGCCTTGATGGACAGCAAAACACAACTGTTGTTCGACTGTACCGCTACGTTGACACTTATATTGTCCTGACCTTCACTGGCGCACTTACCGGTCCGGTGAAATATGGTTAAACTAACCCCCATAACCTGAACGGCGTGGGGAGGCCCTCATCCAGCAGTGGATTGACAAAAGCGCCGAACGCGTGTCGGTGTGTACACGTGTGTACGTGTCTGTATGGTAGTGGCTCGCAAAATTGCACGTGGCGCTCAGCAACCTGGGTTCGATTCCCGGCAATGACCAGAGATCACCATCACCATCATCTGCGGCAAGCGACTCCTGAACTCGCCCTGAGCCTGAACCGTGTCCTGGCCACTTCACGTGACCTCAAAGCGCACCTCGCCTGGTACACGTAGTGGCGCAAAGGGGGTGTTGGTTGTTGTTGCTGCTGCTGCCATATACGTGTTGAATGCAATGCACGTTTGTGGAGCAGTGATGTTATTCTGGAGTTGTCTATTCACGCGGTCGAGATGTCGATGTCGCACTCGCGTTCTCTCAGCCCGCAGTTGGACAACGAAAGGGTTACTCAATGTGATGGTAAAGTATTCCCCTTTCATCAACCTGAATATACTCGAGGAAACCCCGGGTCTCGATTGAAAGAGACCATTTAAATTTCACGGGAATGGGGGTTACCTGGTTATGAAGCATCGTTTTAAATAAAGAAAATTTCACAAATGACTGTAATTATGTGAGCTGCCGTTCTTCCGCAAATTTAAACTCAAAATGTTCAAGATTAACCCACACACAAAGCAGGCGAATGATAATGCTTGTGATTTTAAAAATGCAGTTAGAACCCTTGTTTACCCGTGAAAGCCTCTGTGAGTCGCAAGACAATTGGAATGTTAGGCCAATAGCAGCAGTGTACGCGAAGAAAACACCACCCGTGAGTGAATACAAGCGGTTACACTCAAAACTCCACGCAGTTACATTCAAGCATCCTTCTTTTGGCCACTGCACGGCCGTATATCCATCCACCTTGTGTTCCCGGGCAGTATCCTATTCGAGCAAGCGTCCTAACCAGGCTCAAACCTCTGCTGAGCTTCCCAGGTCTGAGATCGGGGCGCGTTCAGTGCGATGCGGTCAGAGGTACGCAGTGTGAGTGAGTGTGTGCGTGGGTGAACTGTGCGGTGCGTGGGGGATGGGTAGCGCAGTGGTTAAACGCACTGCTGCGCTACGAAACCGGCGGCCCAAGTTCGATTCGAGGTCACGAACCAATAACAGTGCATTTGACGAATATTTTAATCGGTCCTGAGAATTCACCCCCCCCAGATCCACTCAGCCTCAAATGAGTACCTGACGTAGTATCTAAACGTCAACACTGGGGGAAGAGAGGCTGCCGGGCGTGGGTGTTAGTCACCCCCCTACCCCCTCGGTGTGTGACGTCCCGGCCTTCATAGGTGCTCGCTAACAAACTCGCCTGTTAAAGGCTGCCCGGGGGATCTTTGTCTGTGTACGGTGTGTGTGTGTGTGGATAGGTGCACAGGACGGTGTTTGGAGTGATCGCGGGGCTGCGGACAGGGTGAGGTTGCCGGTTGGTGAGGGGATATCCGAGGTCAGGCTGAGAATGCGACCCCCCGGCGCTATAGGAAGTGAGCTGATGGACTTACGGCCTCTCCCCTCCCCCCTCCCCCCCACGATACCCCTCCACCCCTACCCACAGTCCCCACTCGAACCCCGCTCTCAACTGCAACGCGCGTGGTATGCCCCATTTGCTCTTTGTGTGCACGATGCTACTAGGCATTGTGCAGAGATAGCCAGTGGCGTCGAATTAAATACAAACATTAAAATTACCCAATAAAACCACGCGCGCATTGTCCAATTATGAATGCTCTCTTTTATGGAACCTTGAAATAAAGTGGGGAGGATATAGCCCGTAGAGGGTGAAATACCAGCACACGTGTGGAGCGCCGGTTGCGTTACCAACAGTTTATTCCAGTATTATATTGGTAATAATAATACACGTGGTGGATATATATTAAATACAGATAAGCGCATGTACACGTACACGTACGCAAACAGAGACAAAATATCCCCTGTAGCCTAACAGACTGATTAAGCAAGTGCTGTTAGCGAGCACCTATTAAGGCCAGCACGGCATGCACGGCGGTGATGTGGTTCTCACCACGCCCATTCCGTCTTTGTCTCCCAAATCTTGATGTTTACACAAATCACCAAGAACTCATTTCAGACCCAATTTGACCTAGAGAAGAAGGCGCATGTCTGCTTCAGACGTCGATCGCCACTGATTTTAGCCTTGGCCGAGACTCGAACTCATGTTCCTGGGTTCATATCGCAGCGTACAAATCCACCGTTCCACACACACATATAGTACGGTACTGCCAAACAACAGCAAATACTTAGCAGGGCAAATATAAATAAGCATTCTACAAAATAGCAGTAATACATCTGACTAGTTGTAATCGTCCTGGAGTTATACCAGTCTCAAGAAAGTTTATTTTTTCAGGAGGGTCCTGCAATGGGATGTTTGGACAACCCCACGACACTCTAAGTGGTTTCCAAATATTTCCTTAAATATCCGATGCCAATGCAATGTTCATCTTCATAAACACGTGACCATTCGTCTCAAGCTGATAACGAGCGATCGCTTTGTATGACCTTCAATCGCACCGCTTTGAATACCGCAGCAAAGTGAGCGTATCGATGTGTTCTATTGGTTGTGGAGCGAAACGTCGGACATCATAGCGGGCGACACGCCGGCACGAGCCGAGAACACGTTTGGAGAGAGCTGCCATTTAGAGCACGACCTCGAACACCCTACGCCCGTGTTCTTCAATAATTTCACTGGTCAACACACTTTTTCTGGTATAAGGTATTCCAACTGTTTTTAGGTCAATTTGGGGTGCTGATTCCAAATCTGGCATCAGTTTTTGAGATATCAAATATTGCATTTTCAATAAAAACTGCAAAAGAAAAATATTAAATAAATATGGATATCTACATTAAATGATATTATAAACACACTATACTAAAAATACAGCACCATATTTTAACACTAAATCAGTCACTGACTCGCAACAACTTGCAATCATAAGTGACAGAGTTAATTTCGGGTAAAATCAATTAAAATGGGGTATGCCGATAGCATAAAAATGAGATGTGATAGAGCAAATCTTAGATCAGATTTGGAATCAGCACCCTAAAATTAGTCTAAAACAGCTGCAAAAGTCCAGGCCAGAAAAAAATGTTTTTGTTGTTGTTGACCAGTGTTTTAAAAGGTGGGGATGGGGTGGGGGGGCACTTTCGCTGATAAAACATCAATCGGTGTGAGAGCCGCCACACATTTAACACCATTGGGGGTTTGACAGCATCGATGTTGATGTGGCGGAGGGAGAAGTTTTCACTTTTGTGTATCATCGGTGGGGGCCGCACTAAAGGCCCACGCGGTGGCCTTGCGATGAAGAACGCCGCCCTCGGCAGTGGCAAGGCGAGTGTGCTTTATTCCTCACTTCTCACTTTCGTTGAACAGCGACAATTCTCGTGGGCAAACAAAACAATTGCAGTGAAACTCCGCCGCGTGCCATTCGAGTGACCGACGTCCGTTGCCCGCTCATCATCAACAGCGTGGTTCCCTCCCCTTCACTCCCCCCTCTGTGCTTCCCTGCGACTCCAAAAACACCGCATACGTGCACCTGCTTCGCGCTCCCCCACCTGTTTGCGCTGTCCTTTTCGAATCGCGTGCGTTTATGGCACTGTTGGACTAAAATATAGAGCTTATCTGCACCTTCTCCTCTTGCTCACGTTATATTTGCACGGGGGGTTTTTTTTTATCCGCACGTGTTTCGTTGTACGGCCGCTAAACATACCATATATGTTAGTTGTGCGATATTACTGAAGGATTCTGCACGAGTTCTCTGCAGTAAATTGATGTTTTCCCGTCTTTGTTTTGTTGTTGATGCGCTCACGCACCACGGATCTCCCTTGTACAATAGCCGGGCAAATGGCCTACGGGACCATCATCCGTGAGCGCGTTATCGGCTACAACACAATTTCCATTCCCCAAACACACAATCCTGTGAATCAGTCGGTAAACAATTGCCAGCGAAAGACGTGCAACTCATTAACTGGCAAGAAACTGTCATAAACTCCTTCACGGAGATTTAATATATGAAATCACCCTTGATGCATATTGACCGACAGCTTGACTATACACACACACACAGAGCATCCACACGTATACGCGGAGCGTCATTAGGCAATGCACGCAGTGCGTTAATGTACAAATAGCTTGCGTACATAATACAGACGGACGTGTTATACGTGCAGAGCATTTGTATTCATGAACGCAGAACATTGATAGTGCTTTGTGTGTGTATAGGTTAATATTCTGTGTACATGCACACATAGCATTATCACATGCGCACACATCCTTAACACATATACACAGCGAACACGAATACACAGGGAGCATTGCTACATTCAGATAGATCATTAATATACAGAGCATCAATGCAGACACGACAACATTATTGCATACACATGGGATGTTAACACACGTGCACATACATCATCCATACAGAGCTTTAATACATACACACATAAAATGTATACTACACAAACAGCATTATAGATTACACAAGTAGCATTACAGCAACAAAGATCCCCCGTATAGCCTGTAACAGGCTGTTTGGGGCAAGTGCTGAAGGCCGACACGGCACACGAGGGGGTGGGTGGCCAACACCACGCCCGGTCGCCTTTGTCTCCCCAGTGTATCGGGTACTCATTTAAGGCTAAGTCGACCTCGGGGAAGCCCATGGCCGGTTCAAATAATCGTCACTGGTGTTGGCCGTGAGCGGGAATCGAACCCGGGTCGCTGGTTTCGTAGCGCGGCGTGCTAACCGCTACACTACCGCTCCCCACACTGCAACAACACACACACACGCAGCATTAAACATGTAGACCACTGATAGGCCCACGTCACGGATACAAACCCCGCACAGCTGATAGATAGGGCACGCTTGTCATTCTCCCGTCTTCCTGAGCCGAGTGACACGGGGAGGTTGAGCGTGGCGTGGGTGATGGCTTGGGAGTGGTGATCGAGGGTGATGCAGCGGGCGGGCGGGCGGGTGGGTGGGCCTGGGTGTCGTTCGCCAGTTGTGAGTGGGATCGATAACCCTTCATTGCAATCCAGTCTCCTTTCCAATGAAGACCTGGGAATTTTAAAACATGGGCATGATGTCGGAGCGAGTGGCCAGGTTAGAAGGTGCTCTGAGCTGCAAGGCGAGCGAGCGCTGCGCCACAGATCCTCGTGTTATCGCTCTGGTTAGCGACGAGTCCTCTGCTCGTCGCCTCTACAGACGACAGAGCGATGATAAATGCGCCCGATGTCATCAGACCTTGGAAGCCACGCAGGGGGTTTTGGTCTGTTGCGCGTTTGGATGGTTGGAGGCTGCCCCGGGAACAACGGGCGATGTGTCGGCGTGGAGCTGCGAGATGACCAGGAGATGGGAGTACAGCGATTGACTGAATCTATCTGTGCGGAGTGTCGAGCGTTCGACACTCGTCTGCTTGGATCGGAGTGTTCGCCAGGGACTCCGATTACCGGAGAGACATCCCCAATGCACGACCCTAACGGAGAAAAACGAGTCTTCGTGACTCATTAAAGCTTTCTTGTATAAATAAACGGTATTGTTATTACGTCTATGGCTACGTGCTTTCTCCGCTTCAACTCACGTACGTATCAACACCGACGACACATGGGACTTAATCACAGCGCGTTTCCCACCCCCCCAAACCCCCCCTCACCTCCCTCCTCCACCGCTTCCGCCCCCCTCTCACTGCCCCCCCCCCGCCCCATCGTAATTACTCACGCAATTGTTTCCACCGCAATGATCATATGCGAGTCGCGATGCGCGTTGTGCCTAATTGTAGGAGCATATTACCGACTTCGCGAATTCTCCCCGCCTAGAATAGCCAAGATCCCAAGACACCGATCTCGGTGCTTGAAGTTATGCCACTGTGTGTCCGCGTCACGGTGCCAAATTTGGTCAATTACTGCCAATTGCCACGTTTGGCGCGAGATGGGACCTCCTCGAACACTCCCCGGGTGCAGAGATGAGCCGAGACGAGCATGCCGAGCCCAACACATCACTTGTCATACGGATGGATGGTGGTGGTGGTAGTGATGGTTGTGACGATGTAGCGGTTGTATTTTTTACGATGATGATGATGCTGCTGCTGATGTGGTTGGTGGCCATGCATTATAATGATGGTGATGATGATGATGACGATCTTCGTCATTATAATGGTGGCTACGATTGTGATGATGATGATGACGGTGGTGGTGTGTCGGAAGAACCCGCGTCAACTCTACCCCATTTCAAACCAAGCTCCGCCCGCGTTCCCCCAGCACGCCAACAGGAGCTCGCTAATTGCGCGACGTCTGCTCCGCGCGGCCAATTGGAGGCGCGCGGGACGCGAGCCCGGAGCGGCACCTGTCACGACGTGAATGAGGGAGCGGCGCGGAATGAGCGGATGATGGATGACTTCCCGCGGGAGCGGCCCTTTAATTCATCCCTCCTACCCTACCCTCCCTCCCCTCCCATCCCACCCCGGCCACCACCACCACCAGCACTGCTACCCCACCATCCACACTCACACCCCCCTTTCCACCCCCCCCCCTTCTTCCACCCCCCCCCCCCGGCTCCCCGCTGAGCGCGCCTCCTCCTCTCCCTCCTCCTCCTTCTTCCACCGTCCCGAGGCGGCATGAGAGCGCGTGGGGAAAAGCAGCAGCGCGGACGAGGCGCGGCCGCAGAGCGGACAAGGACGCGGCACGAGCGGCAGCAGCACCACGGGCGTACGAGGCGCGCTAACGCAGCGGAGTCGGACGCGCGAAGGGACCCGCTCCGCCTTGTGCAGCAGCAGCAGCAGCAGCAGCAACAGCAGCGGCAACAGCAGCGGCAGCAGCAGGAGGAGGAGCAGGAGGAGACGCGCGCAACGAGGATGATGCAGCGACCCTTGGGCGCCGCTTTCAGCATCGACGCCCTGATCGGCAACTCGCCGCCGCCGCAGCCGCACAGCGCCCGACCCTTCCTGTATGCGGGGTACCCGGTGTTCCTGCCCTACCGGCCCGTGGTCATCCCCACCCCGGCGCTGCCCCACACCGCCACGCTGCCCGCCGTGCCCACGCTCAACCCGCTGCCGCTGCCCAACAGCTTCTATGCGTCGCTGCCGCAGGGCCTGCCCACTGTGAGCCCGCTGCCCACGCTGCCCGGCGGGGAGGAGTGCGCCAAGGGCTACTCGGACGAGCTGCACGGCACGAAGCTGCCCCTGCAGCTGCAGGGGCACCGGTTCGGACTCGATGTGCGGCGTGACGTGGGGGACGGGGAGCGGATACCGACGCCTGGTCGGGACCGCCACTCCGCGTTCCTGTGCCGCGACTCGAGGCTCGACTCCATCGGTGCGTCGCCGCGTTTCGCTTAATTAACGTCCTGCTGTGGCTTTGTTGCACGGAACGTCGGCGAGAGCGTGGGCGGTGGTCAGGGTGCTTCATGTGTGTGTGTGTACATCTGTGTCCGTGTATGTATTTTGTGTGCACTGGTGTGTGTGTGGGTACATCTGTGTCCGTGTATGTATTGTGTGTGCACTGGTGTGTGTGGGTACATCTGTGTCCGTGTATGTATTGTGTGTGCACTGGTGTGTGTGTGGGTACATCTGTGTCAGTGTATGTATAGTGTGTCGACTCGGCCTTAAATGAGTCCCTGATGCGGTGTGTAAACATCAGCACTGGGGATACAAAGACGGACGGGCACGGTGCTGCTCACCTACCCCCTCGTGCGCTGTGCTGCTTTCATTTGTACTCACTAACTGCGCTCTCCACATCAGATTTGGCAGACTTACATGGGGGATAGTTGTCTTGTGTATACGTGTTCACTTATCCATAGGCACTGCTATGCAAGTGTACGTGTATGCTTGTGTTTGTGTGTCCGTACGCAGAGGTTATCCACGTGAGCAAGTGGGTGTGTATACTGTGTGTGTAAGCACTTGTTAATGTGTCCGTGTGTACGCATGGGTTATCCGCGCGTGTGTAAAATAAATTGTGTGCGCTTATGTGTCTCCGTTCTGTGTGTGCCCATGCAAACGCATGTGTGCGCACGTGTGTGTGTCTCGTGTTGTATATGAACACGTGCGTCTGTCTTTGAGTGCGTCCGGTCAGAGCTTGTAGCCTACCGCTCTGATTAGTATTGTTATTATTATTGAAATCTCGTTTCCGGTGGCATAATCACATAACCCGCAGATGACCGGCGCGTGTTCATAGAGCTCTCTTATAGTCACTGTCTAGTAGAGGTGTTTAAGCGGTAAAAAAAAACACAACAACAGCAGCGCCAACTTGCAAGAACGGCACGCGTGGTTGCTTCTCGTGGTTGTGTTCCTCTCGGTGTCGGCTAAACACCGCCCCCCCCGCCCCCCCCGCCCCCTACCCCCACCTCGTGGTGTTTACGTTCAATTCACCGCTTGTAGACGTCAACAATGGACCCGACTAGCGGGTTGACGAATGCTCCCGGTTTCTTCCGTTCGAACATTTCCCCCCAAAACGTTGCCGAGGCTCCCATCAACAACAATGGGGGGACTGGGGCGGGAGTGGGGGGTAGTGGGGGGGGGATAAAATCGTCAAGACCATGGGGCAGGGTTGGGCAACCTGCGGCTGTTGGAGGGACCACCTCGTGACTTTGTTCATTTCAGACCCAACGTCTCGTATTCACACGAATCGCCGCTCTTGAAATGTTGAATTTGTAAAAAAAAATGTTTTACTACCGAATTGGAAAGAAACTAAAATGTTCGTCTCTTCTTGTTATTTTGATGGCCCCATCCCTGACCATGTGTTAATATCACCCCGGTTTCGTCACGGCGTGAATGCGAGCCGTTAAACGCGGGGTTTTTGTTGTTGTCTATCTAAAGCCGGGGGGGGGGGGGGGGGGCGTTAGACCCATCACGTCAAGAGTGGCCTCCCATCGATCCATGGTTGCAAGTGTGAGTGTCACCCCCCCCCGCCCCCCTGTACGCTGTCTACTGTATTGCCTTACTCCTGTGTAGCAGGTGTTCGCCGTGGTGCTGTTACACCTCTCGCCGTCGATGTGAGCGTCTCGAGTCTTTAGCGCCCGTTTGTTCGGCATTGATGGTCCGACGTTTCGCTCCGCGTTCCGGGAACTTCTTATTCAAGACGTGGAGCAAAACGTCGGACATCACGGCGAACAATACAACCAGAAATCAACACACACACATACACATCAGGGAGCTAAGTGTGAGTGTTTCTACCCTTTGAATTGGGTGCCGCGGTGGCTAGGAGATGTTAACTACCTCGCCTGGTATACAGGAGGTCGTGAGTTTGATCCCGACCCTGACACTGGCTCTATATTTGGAGTTCGCATGTCTTTCTCTCTCTCTCCGCGTGGTCGCGTTGGTTTTCCCTCCGCGTTTATAAACACGCGTTTCGAGTGTTTGGCGGCAATACATTTCCACGTGATAAGCCACTTCATAGAGCTGTCATTTGTGGCGAGGTCGCCTCTGAAATGAGCTTCATAGCTCAGTGGGCCTTACCTCGTAAAATCTATTTTATTATTCTTCTTGGTTCTTTCGGTAAAGTCACGTAGAAGGGAAGTAATAAAATAATAAAAATAAAACATTATTTTATTACTTCCCTACGTGACTTTACCGAAAGAACCAAGAAAATGAATTCCTGCAGTCACGAAAGCTTTAAATCGAAACTATTTTATTATTATTTATTATTTTTGGCTTCCAATGTAGCGAGATAACAAATAACTATGTAGTTGACGCAACAGCTAATGTATGTACGAGTGCCATTGAGGGGTTGCTCTGTGCAGACGAGACACGGTTCTGTCACGGCGTCAATTGACGCACGCGCGGTGGTGTTATCACCACTTTGCGTCGTCTATTTGGTGCCACGGTGTTGTTGATGATGTTGTTATTGCAGCGTCATGTTGGAGATCATGCAGCACACTCTAATGACCATGTTGCATCGGTAACTAACAAGTTGACGCTATGATCAAATGGTCATCGCCCGAAACGGTTGCCTATGTATACATGCTGTTCTTTTGGGGGCAGTGTTTTTGACGAATGTGAGACTTTTGGTTTGTTGTTGCTTGAACAGCAGCAGCAGCGGCATCACCAACTGATGTGTTTTATATCTGTGCCACATCTGGTTCCATCGTGTGCATCGCTGCCGCATATACCGATGCATGTACGCTACGTTATAAAATGTAAACTTTCAATGTTTACATGGTATGTGCGGTTGGGCGTAAGATACATCTCACTATACAGGCGGAATTTGCGGCAATAGGTAATTGAGTTTGTAAATAATGCGAAAATGCTTTATATTTATGTATAAATAGTAATGTACAAACCTTTATTAATCCATTTTTGGATGAACACTTCCCAAAGCCGGGCCGGGTATGTGGGTTATTTGACTGTGCTTCATCTCCTTGGTGAGTGAGTGAGGTTTTGTCGAAGGCCAGAGTCCTGGTCAAATATCACTTGCCGCTGATGTTTTAGCCGTGGTCGGGAATCCAACTTGTGGTTGACCGGTCTCATAGTCAACAACTACGCCACTGCTCTACTCCATTCTAAATACTTGTATTAAACTGAGAACAGATTTGACGTTTAGGCCGTGAGTTGACATCCTTACTGCATCGATTTGTGTCCCAGGTTACTTTTGACAAAGACTTGTTGTATAGCAACTAAACTTTGTTTCATTTTACCAAGTAAGGCCCACTGAGATACACAGCTCTTTTTTAAGAAGCGACGTGGCCACAAATGATAGCTCAACGAAGTGGCTTATCATTCTGTGGAAATTCATAGCAGCCAAATACTCTAAATGCGTGTTTCTAAATGTGGAGGGGAAAAAACCGAAGGACCCGGAGAAATTTTTAAGCAACCAGGAGAGAGACAGAGAGACCGTCAACTCCAAATATACAGCAGCAGGCGTCAGGGTCGGGATCGAACGCCACGACCTCCTGTATACCAGGCGAGGGAGATAACATCTCGCCACCACGGCGCTTTCCCTGCCTGGTTTACATATAGCATATCTATCTCTATATATGCACACACATATACACACATATACACACACATATACAAAGATAAAGATCCCCCGTATAGCCTGAACAGACTGTAGGGGCAAGTGCTGTTAGCGAGCACCTATGAAGGCCGGAACGGTACACGAGGGGGTGGGTGGCCAGCACCACGCCCGACCGCCTTTGTCTCCCTAGTGGCGATGTTTACACACCGCACCAGGTACTCATTTAAGGCTGAGTCGACCTAGGGGAGGCCCAGGACCGGTTCAGATAATCGTCACTGGTGTTAGCCGTGAGCGGGAATCGAACCCGGGTCGCCAGGTTCATAGCGCAGCGCGCTAACCGCTACACTACCGCTCCCCACATATACACACACATATACACACACATATACACACACATATACACACACATATACACACACATATACACACACATATACACACACATATACACACACATATACACACACATATACACACACATGCAACACGCATGTAGCGCGTGTCCGCTTTATCCCGTGTAGGATGTTCCCAAGTCGTCTTTAGGTCGCTCTGTGTTCACCGCATTCAATTCAAACGCTGTGGGGTCGCTTTGTTGAGCGCCGAGTGGTTATTTTGCGACTCAAGGGAGATAGATTTATATTTGGCTAAACAAAAATAATGTTTTTTTACCAACCAGCGTGAAAGTGTCTCTTGCGTTACGCAACGTTCAGAAATGAGACGCAAAAGGCAACGGCAGTAGATGTCACACAACTTCAACAGCAGCAACAACAACAGAAGCCCTCAATTAAGTGGCCGCGTTTGACTCGTGCAATTAACTGTGATTTAATAGATAATTGTACGACTTGAATTTCAGCGTTACAAAACTCCTCATTGTCTACAGAAAGAACAACTTTACTCTCAAGGGGTCAAAGTTGTTGCTGCTATTGTTGTTGTTGTGTGTACATGTATGTGTGTGAATGACTGTCTTATACAATAAACCCCCTCGTGTGCCGTGTGGGCCTCCATAAGTGCTCGCTTAACAGCACTTGCCCCAAAATTATGTTAAATATATACAGAGGGGTTCTTTGTCTTTGTTATGCTACATCCACAGTGGTCGCATGGGTTTTGTTTTAACGGTAGATGGTATTTTCACTTTTCTAATACCTACCACAACGATGTGTGTGTGTGTGTGTGTATCTGTGTTTGTGTGTCTTTATTGTAGCGGTTAGCGCGCTGCGCAATGAACCGGACCACCCGAGTTCGATTCCCCCTCGAGGCCAACAGCAGTGATGATGATCTGAACCAGTCCTGGGCCTCTCCATAGTCGGCTTAGCCTCAAATGAGTACATTGTGCAACGTGTAAAACATCGCCACTAGGGAAACAAAGGCGGCCGGGCGTGGTGCTGGCTATCCACCCCTTCGTGTGCCGTGCCCGGCTCTCTTAGGTGTTCGCTAACAGCACTTGACCCAACAGTCTGTTAAGGCTACACGGGAGGCCTTTGTGCTTTATCTGTTTTCCCGTGTTTGTGTGTGCGTGTGTGTTTTTCATTATGGCATAGTTAATACAATGCAACTGCCTGCTTGTGTGTGTGGTGGTAGAGGTTAAATCATTCATATTCATTTACGATTATTTTTTTTAAATACACATCTATTTTACTGTCTGCATGTTTTTGTTTCTGTGTATAGGTATATATGCGTGTGTATGTCTACCGATGTCATAGTAACCAGTGGCGGGTTAGGGCTTCTTTCTTTCGGCTTTCACATCACACTCCACGGAAGACGAACGAATTTGGCTGACGATGAGGCTTGTATATTGTTACACGATGACACAATTTACAACGTCAGGCTGGCCTTGTCCTAATCAGCGAAATCAATCACCGCCGGGCCCTCCACCTTGGTGGTACAATTCAACAATTTTTATTTTCAGATTTTTAATTATATACAAACAAATTCAGATTTCTATCCCATCTAGAGCATCATTCAAGTTCACACCAGACACCAATGTCTACGTATACCAGCTATTTGATTGTAGATATGTATTGTTCGAAGCAATATATTGGATCTGTTTTAATAATATGATGAGTTATATATGTTTGTGTTTACGTGTGTGCATATGTGTATATATATATAATGTATCGTGATCCGCGTACCGCGCTATTGTACGAGCCATAACACCCGGGTTCAATTCCCAATCACGGCCAACACGAGCGGCAGGTGTTAACCGAACCAATCATGTGTCTCTGTTAGTGAGACATCATCAAATAAGTGGCGCAGTGCGTAAACATCAGGACTGGGGGGGGGGGGGGGGTTACTAAAGCAGCGGTGATGGCCAAACCACACGCACGTGTGTGCGTTGAACTTCTTTCGCGCACCGTTCGTAGCCAACCTTGATCATCGGGGGTGCAGGGGAATGACAGCGACCTCAACACAACAAACCCGCACCGAGCCAGCCTTTTGCTTCGTTGTAACCGAACACACTCGTCAACGCGGCGTGCACAAAGCGCAACTCTCTTCTGTGTCTCACGCACACAAACACAACTCCGTTGGTTCACTCTGCTTGACAGACCAATGCAATGCGTGTGGCATTCCCCCTAAGCACGCACCAATGAGTGTATCTACTAAACCTTGGAGGGGGAGGGCGGGGGTTCCTTTGCCTTGTGTCCCTCCTAGCGCCTTGTCGACACTAACGCGTGTTCCGCGCGCGCAGTGAACGTGAACTCTGACGATGACTCGGTGGACCCGGGCTGCGGCGATCGGCGGGGCAAAGACGACTCGTCCTGCGGCGACAGCGACCCCGACTTCAGCGCAGCCGAGGACCACGCGACCCCGCTCGGCTACGCGCGACCCGACAGCCGCGCCACGTCGCCCTCCGACTGCGGGGGCGACCTCCTGCAGCAGAGGCGGGACGCGCTCAAGGCAGCCGCCGCCGCCGCCGCCGGGCTCTCGGGTGCCGTGGGGGCGGGACCGCCGGGTTCCGTGGGGCTCGGAGCCGGGGGTCTCTCGACCGGAGCCGCCGGGGTCGCGGGCAAGAGCCGGCGGCGGCGCACGGCGTTCACGAGCGAGCAGCTGCTGGAGCTGGAGAAGGAGTTCCACTGCAAGAAGTACCTGTCGCTCACGGAGCGCTCGCACATCGCGCACGCGCTGCGTCTCAGCGAGGTGCAGGTGAAGATCTGGTTCCAGAACCGGCGCGCCAAGTGGAAGCGCGTCAAGGCGGGGAACGTGAGCGCGCGGGCCGGCGAGCCGGCGCGCAACCCCAAGCTCGTGGTGCCCATCCCCGTGCACGTGACGCGCTTCGCGGTGCGCGGGCAGCACCAGGCCGGGGATCACGGGGCCAGGCCGTGAGGGTTCTGGTAGGGCCCGGCGAGAGGGCGAGAGAGGGACGAGGTGGTAGGGGTTGGCCGGATTCCCCCCGGGGGACACGATTTTCTACCGGAGCTGTTGTTGTTGTTACTCGCGTGACGGTGATGGTGATGATGATCGACCCTCTCAACATCACGATTGCTACTGTCACCCGTTATTATCGCTGCCACTGTTATTGTGTCCACGACCACAATCAGCATCGCTCTCATTATTCCCATCGCATTCGTATGACCGTCGTTATAACTAACTTCACGACCAGAGTCATCGTTACAAGAACTAACAATGCCGTCAGCACTACCACTGTCACTATCACTGCCATCGTAATCACAATCGCCACGATCACCGCCACCAACACGGCAACTAAGCACTTGCCCTTACAACCCTTGCCACGACTATCACAATCATTGCCATCACCACCATCAGCATCATAAATACAAGTGCTACTATTTTCACGAAAACTACATTCTCCACTCCAACTACCAACATCCTCACCATAATCACCAACCTGTCACCCATCCTGATCTGCGCTACATTTCCACCCTCAACGCCACCACCATCATCACTACCACTTCCATCATATCCATCACCACAACTCGCACAAGCGCCAACGTAACCACAATCATCCTCGCCACTGTCGCCACGTACCAACCTCGCCATCATTGCCACAACCACCACCACCGCGATTATTTCCGCCACGAGCAGCAGCAGCAGCAGCAGCAGAGCGCTGAAGGAAGAGTGCGACTCGTAGGGACGGGATCGACCTTTCCCTTCTGCATGGCCGAGGTGTTTTATGTTTTTTTAAAAGAAAGTCACAGATTTGCATTGAGAGTACTGTGTTAATAACACGAGCACAGCGGTGTGAAAATAACCGATACAACAACAGCAGCGGCAGCAACAGGAGGTCGTCACGTGAAGTCAAAGATGACCACCCGTGCCCAAAGGGGGTCTTTGTTCTGTTGTTGTTACGAGTAATCTTGTATCACGAGCGCGGACATCATCTCCGGTAAGAACTGAAACGTCGCAAATGAAACGCGAGAAGACATGAGACTGAACGCGACAAAAAAACTTGAAATTGTAACGATTGCATCGCTTCGAGCGGTCGTGCTGCTATGAGAAAGCAGCTCCCCCCCCCCCCCCCCCACCACGTGATGCGGTTGTTTCGGGTTGTACTGCGTGTTGTTCGGCAAAGGTGTACCGACGTTTCGCACCACTTACGTGCTGGGAAGAATCTACATCAGTTCGTGAACGAGCTAAACTACTGAGACGGAAAGATAAGAAGTCGAGCGATCGGCACGTGCTCGGCAAGGTGGCAGAGACCTCGGGTGACGCCTCTGGGCTGACGGAACCAGGGTTGGTGGAACCGGGAAATTTGCGCGTCTTGGCCGGGCGCGTGCGAACAGTGAAGTGCGTGAGTCAAGCCCGGGCCACGTGCGAGTTGACCCGGACCCATACTGAACATCTGTGACGAAGAAGAAGAAAAAAAAATGAGCTTCATTTGCTCATCGGATTCTTCCTGCAGTCTCAATCAAGATTCTGAGCGAGCGTGCGAGCGAGCGGGCGGACTAACGCCTCTCACCAATGAAGGAACATTTGCACTGAACCGACTGCTTCTAAACATTCCGGGCGCTTGAACGAAGCTCCGTGATTCTCGAGACTCGGCGCGGCAAGGCCATTATTGGCTCTTCTTGCTCGTGTGTTTGTGTGTATGTATATATATACATACACGCACGCTTAGTATATATACACACAAATAAAACCCCGGGTTGTGTGTAGTGTACATATACAGTAATGCTGCTAGGTTAATTTACATCTAGCGAAGAGAAAGTGGCGGAGAAGACATAATTACGGATCGATAATGTGTGGATATGTAGCTGTAAACGTCGCCACAATTCCACTCCCTGCCCCCCAAAACCCTCCCACCCCACCCCCGGGCCCCCTTACCTCCGTGTTTGTTATATTGATCTCAGACGTCGCCTGCATGTAATAGCTGTTTGTAGACTTGTTCAATATTATTAAATGGTGGCCGCTTTGTGTGCCGTGACGCTAATCCTCCTCCACGCGACGTTGTCGACGATCGATCACCTAAAGGTTTTTTTTGTGTGTGCGGTGCGCAACAAAAACACTTTAAAAAAAGAGAAGAAAAAAAAAGAAACTGCGATTCGGCCGTGGCCGCGTCCGCGTAACGGGGAGTGGCGGGGACGAGGAAACCAGCGCTGATACGGCGTGTTGGGGGGTTGGGGGGGGAAGAGTTTCTTCACGTCGCGTTAGGACAGCGCGTTGTGTTGAAGACGCGTGCGTCTCGCGTGCCAAACCAGGGGGGGGGCCGCGCTCCGGAAAATATCGAGGGTGCGTGGGCCGAGTCAAAGCACCTGCATGCCGACAGAAGCAGACGTTCGCCACCAAGCGACGCTCGACGTCGACACGGCGCGTGTGCCAGGCTAGGTGCACCGCGAGGCGCTTTGCTGCATGTACAACGACAGACATGCGGCACGCACACTGGGGGCCCCGCGTAACGGCCAATCGCGGCCCAGCGGTGACGCGCTCGCCACCTGTTGGGGACCTTCGCGGTTGTAACCAAGCGGCCGCCCCAGCTCATTGCTCGCGGGTGGAATACATCGCAATGCGCGCCGCCGTCTGCCTCGCGGCGGGACTTTCAAGGACGACTTTGCCCGGCGTCATTCGCAAGAGTGGGCTATTGGTTTATTTTATTTTTTGCCGTGAAGGTCCAAATTTGGCAAAATTTGAAAAGTGACCCACAAATTACTCGATTACCAGGATTATACCGATACATCGGAAACCCTCCAGGTCACTCTTGCAAATTAGACTGTGATAGTTTCTTGAGTTCTCACCCATTAATAGAAAATAAACTTGAAGCATATTTGCAGTAACATGCACACGCGCAGACATAACGCTGTTCATCGTGTGTATACGGTACTTGTAGTGAGTGTACAGTACTTGTATGCAGTACTTGTTGTATGTATACAGTACTCGTATGTATAAAGTACTTGAAGAAAAGAAGACTCGATGTGAAATAAAAAAATTACGCTCTTGTGTAGAACGATCGCGGCCTAACAACTTCGCGGTGTATAGATTGTATGTATGTACATTTCAAGTTGAAATAAATTATGTTTTTTTTTCCTTCTTCCCGATAAAAAAAGAACCCCGCAAAGTCATCGTGAATTCACGTAACGCGTCTGGCCTCCCCTCGCCTTTGCTGGTCATCGGCAGGTGAATGTTACCTGTCATTGCGGAGATATATATATATATATATATACACACACACAGACACGTAGATACATAGTAACACCTCGATTCACGTCTCCCCATTTTACGTCGTTTCGCAAATACGTCGTCACTTCATCAATGACACCACTAACCCGATTTGCGTCGCCCTCAATCCCGCTACTTACGTCGCTGACAGCATCGCCCGTGCTCTCTCGTTATCCGTCGCCTCCTCGTCAGCCCGTCGCCTCCACCACCCTACCCTGTAAATCGCTTTTTGGATTTACGTCGTTTCGATATTCGTCGTCGCACATTTCAGGAACGCATCCCCCGACGTAAACCGAGGTGTATATGCATGTGTATCGTGCGAATGTCCACGTTGTAACGGGTGTGTAACGGACGCTGCAGGGGCGGCAGCAGCAGCAGCATCCGTTAGTTCATCTCCACACCGTCGTGATGCCTCGATGAACGAGCCACGAGCGTGCAGTGCACAGTCCAAGGCTCTCGGCCTTCCGCTTGCGCTCCGTGGCAAATAAATGCCCCAGCGACTCCCCACGGGCATTCAATTCCCCGAGCGCTTGTCAGTTTATTAATTCACAGGACGTTCAACGTGCGTGAGTGTGTGCGAGTCCTCATTCGTTCGTTCGTTCATTCATTGGCATGCGTGCAATATCCAGCGCGTGTCGTCAACGAGCGAGTGTTCCATTACCGGCCGCGTTTCTTTCATCTTTCATTCACCGACGGGCGTGCAATGTGTGTGTCATGAATTAATTAAATTCCATGCCCACCACATGTCATCAATTAGCTCAGGCGCATCCAATGCCCCCCGCCCCCCCCCCCGCACCGCGTGTTATTTCATTCATTCACTCTTTCTTATAAAGGGCATTCAATGCCCAGCGCGTATAACCCAATGCTGCAATTCATTCGCGGCAACGGGATGACCAGCGCTTGACAACATGCGTGCGTTCATATGAACCCGCCGCCCGGTTATAATGATCGCATTAACTGCCTAGGCATTCAATGGCCGGACCAAGGAAATTCATTCACACCATTTAATTGTTAATTCACTACTCAAGGCTCGTGCACCAACAAAAAAAGGGGGTCATCATTGTTCGTGTGCCCGATCGTTCACGGCTCACAACTCGAAGATGATCAGTGGCGGTGGAGGCATCGAGAGACATCGAGAGATATCGAGAGATATCGAGAGATATCGAGAGTGACTGCAGACACGAGATGAGCGACCGGGAGCGCGAGGAACACCATCGGCCTTCACCCGCAGATTGTTCCACGCGCGCTTTCTAATTTTGACCGAATTGGCAACTAAAGTTGCAGGCGTGACTCGCTATCTCTCTCTCTATGTGTCGGCTTGATCATCTGTATACAGTATACACAAAGACCACATTGCCTGAGAGAGGAGCGGTGGTGCAGTGGATTCGCGACACCCGGCTCGGGCTGTAAATCAGAGACGACTGATATTTGTGAACCGATCCTGGGCCACCCGCAACGCCTCACCAACCCGCACTGGCCGCCGGGGTCAGAATCGGGTCAAACAACTCCCGCTACTCATGAGCGACACAGCAGTGGATTGACAGAGGGCTGCAAGAGCACGTGTTATTGAACTAGCACATTGACGTTCATTTCTAAACGCTCCCGAAAATTGTGGCATCCGCTCAAAAGTGGAGGGCCTCATGGTGCACTGTGCAATGGAATTGTGCGCCACGAAATTCAATTCGATATAAATAGTTCACACTTGGGATCCAATGGTAATAATGACGTTGCATTTGTTGTTTACGTGGTGAGTATTGCTGTGGTTGGTATTGTACTGTGTGTGTTTGTGTGTGGGAGGCGGTAGCGTAGCGGTTAGCGCGCTGCGCTACGAACTTGGCGACCCACATTCGATTCCCGCTCACGGCCAACACTAGCGACGATGATCTAAACCGGTGCTGTGCCTCCCGTGGGTCGACTCAGCCTTAAATGACTACCTGGTTGCGGTGTGCATACATCGTCACGAGAGAGACAAAGGCGGCCCGGCGTGGTGGTGGCAACGTAGCCCCCCCAATTGTGTGCCGTGCCGGCCTTCATTCGGTGCTCGCTCACAACAGCACTTGCCTCAAAAGTCGGTGATGGTTACACGGGGGATCTTTATCTTGTTTGCGTGTTTAGTCCGCTGCGTGTATCCGCTAAGTTGAGTTAATTAGCCGGCGTCGTCTTATTGCATCACGACTTCCACATGGCAACGATAATTGAGCGCGGCTCTCCGAGTGCTATGCGTTCGCGTAGGGATGCCGTAAATAGTCCACAGGGCATCGGGGCATGTATATACAGCAACAGGGATACAACAACGTACTCTGTGTGGGATACGTGTAAGACGTAGCAAAAGTCAATGGAACCTTCCGAAACTTGACGCCGTCATCTTACAAATGGCAAGACGATGCCGTGCACCGTTTGAATAGCACGAGTAGGAGTGGTCGACATTTGCACAGGGTTTCCCTTCGCTTTATTCGGTAGTAGATGCGTTCCAAAAACAGAAAAGGGCGCACAAAGCGAAACCGCACGAGGAGACAGCTGCTTGCCGAGTAGCGCGCACAGTACACACACACACACACAGTACACACTATACAATGTTGTCCCACGTTCGATCGCATAACCTCGTATCAGTGAAGTCAAACCTCATCGAGCGATTTTTCTTTTTTTGTTGTGTAGAAATTGGTTCGCCGCGTTTATATGAAATCGCACAACAAACCGAACCCGCGTCAAGGCGAGGGACACCTGTATCGCCTTGCAGGTAGAAAGAGAGCTCATTGGCCGAGATTCGAACTCGAGGTCGCCGGGTTCACGCCGCGTTGTCGATAATGATCACCGTTCCATCTGCTCCACCCTCGCGTTATTTTAAGAGCCCGTTGGGACCCGATTTCGCTTTTCCAATGGAGACCTGGATTTAAAGAGTTACAAAAGAAAACAAACACAACGAAATAAAAACACGAAACAAAAAGGCACACAAAGATCACACAGACACAGTGAGAACTGTTCCAACTAATTAAGAATTTTAAAAAAATAGTAAAAAAAAATCAGTCGACGGTTTATTTCGGCTGACGCCCGTGACGCTGAGAAGCGAGTTTTCAGTGTCGACCCCGATAAGAAGATAATAAGAGGCGAACGTGCGCGCATGCAAATGTGATTTACCTTCTAAAATATTTGCTTTCACACGTGCCGAATACAGGACATCGCAGCACGCTTACAGCAGAATGAGATCGAACAGCTGGTAGCTGCTGTAGCGTAGAGACACTGCAAATCCGCGTGTGTTGAGGTGAGCGGCATGCTACGTGCAGCGAAATCTGACACATTCGCTCCTGGCTTTTGAAAAGTGATACAAAAAAGATGTGAAATGAGAGTCTGTGCGTGCGTGCGTACGAGTTCGACTCGGCAATCGAATGAGTACATGGTGCGGTGTTTAATCATCGCCACTAGGGAGACAAAGGCGGTTCGGCGTGGTTGCTGGCCACCTACACCCTCGTGTGCCGTGCCGGCCTTCATAGGCGCTACTCGCTAACAGCACTTGCCCCAAAAGTCTGTTATGACTATACGGAGAGTCTTTGTCTTGTGTTCGATGTCGGCTGCGCCAGCGGTCAGCGCGCTGCGCTACGAACACAGCGAACCGAGTTCCATTCCAGCTTAACAACCAACATTAGCACGGTCGGCTACGTACGGTGCGAAAGAAGTTGCACATACATACAACCTTGGTGACTAATTTCTGAACCGGTCCTGCGCTTTCACTAGGTTGACTCAGCTTGAAATGCGTCCCTCGTACTCCGTGTTAACATCGCCACTGGAGAGACAAAGGCGGCCGGACGTGGTGCTGGCCACCCGCCCTCTCGTGTGCCGTGCCGGCCTTCATTGGGTGCTCGCTAAAAGCACTTTTCCCCAACAGTCTGTCAAGGCTATACGGGGGATCTTTGTATTTTGTTGTTGTTGTTGCAGGCTGCTCGCACGCGCTAACTCGCGGAGACCCCGAAAGTCGCTCTCAATAGCCGAGGGTAGAACAGTCAAAATGTCATTGGTTATCCGTACTGTGCAACCGTTGAGATACCGCTATTAATGTAAAAGCACGACGCTCAACATCACCTGCATATATATGTGCAAACGTGCTTGATACCTCACAATTATTTAAAAACCACTACGAATGATACTACCGAAGAGGCACATGGAGCGAAACGTCGGACTTCATGCGCAACAACCTGAAAACACATCGGAGATCGTCAGTTATCATGTTCATAGTCATCGTGTTTTCTCGGTGAAACATCAATTATATTTAAAAATAAATAACTAGTCTACGTATACACCAACAGACGTAATCTCTAATGAATCAAATGGGCTCGATTCGCGTGTTCTGGGCCGATGTTTATTTTTCGTACAATTTTTTTTGTATTTTAGCCAAAACATGTCTTGGTCTCGACGAAAATCGAGTAAATCCGGCACGTTTCGGCAGTGTCGCCAACGCGTCCACCTCGTCCTCTTGTTACGCCGAACTGCTTTGCTTCAGTGCCGGATGAAGTTAGCGAGGGGCCTGTAGCACATATTATAAAGGGGCACTAAATAAATAAAAACACACATTTGAACATATCCATTTTTAACATGCGTAGTAAAGTTATTGTATTTTTTTATTTGCTACACAGCCAGATAATACGACAAATCGCTACCCTTCAACACCCAGTCGTTTATAAAAGTTGAAGGCAGTCTAGTACTATAGTAATAGAGCAAGTGCAGAATCACTGAACCGGAATTGATAGCTTGAGAGCATTTAGCGCGGGGCCCTTGAAAGTGCGGGGCCCGTAGCATATTGCTACTAAGATAATCCGGCACTGCTTTGCTTAACGATAAGCAGCGCGTAGATTCACAGGCTCTCAAACTCCAGTCCTAGCGACCCACCACCCACGCTCCGTCTTTCCGCGTTTTCCAACGTACTCCCAATTCAAATACAATTTAACTCGTTCCACGCCGCACGCGCCCGATGATTATTAAACACGTCCCACGTGACCGTTCTGTATTTGAATGCGGAGTACGTTGGTCAACGCGTAAAGACGGAGCCTGGGTGGTGGGTCGCGATGACTTGGGGTTGAGAAACCCTGGCGTAGAAATATCCCACATGTCATCGCACTGCTGCAAACACGAATAGCGTCGTATCATGCACACGATGTCGCCTTACTAAAATATATTAATCTATATTCTACTATTTAACAGGTTGCTCTGAACAACGCCCACAGCGATTTTTTTTTCTCTCTCCAAAATATGCGTTCAATGTTATTATTATTATTACTGATTAACTACTACCCAGGGTTCAGTGTTTCTCTGTATAGTTTCCGAGTCGCTGGTACATTTTGAGCAGAGGTGGCACGTGACCAACAGCCCAGTCGCAACAGTGCTCAGCTCGCGCGGTATACTGGATGGGGTGTGCCGGGTGTGGAATCGTATTTCCGGGTCGCTGACGTGAACCGACCAGTCTGAAACTAATCCTTGTCGTAAACGACAATAACACGACTACCAATTCCGATTCACCGAATTATAAAACGCACCCAACCTCCCCCAGCCCCCCCCCCTCAGCCTTACCTTATTTCAAATCAAATATCAGGGGGGGTGTTCGTCTTATCACCCGTGCGTGTGAGAGACCAAATTATAATTATACCGCATCTTTATTTACACGCATTTTTTCAGTTTTGTGGGGGGGGGGGGGAGATGGGTGGGATGGAAGGTGCATCTTCTTTTTTTGTCTTCTTTTTTTTAAATCTTCTTTACCGGAGCGTCTTATAATCCGAAGAATACGGTGAATGGTCTTTAAAGGGGGGGACTAACGATCAAGGGCTCCCCGTGGCGAGGGTGCCGCTCGCAGGGGGGCTGCGCGATTGTAAAAAAAAAAGCGCCGCGTTTAATCTGGCGAAGCGGCGGAGCTCCGAGCGCGTCTATAATCAGCGTCGTGCGTTAATTCGCCAGCCTAATGAGTCAAATCAAGCGCTCGGATCAAACCGCGAATGGCTTTCGCGGCGGCTGTAATCAAGGCGAGGTGTCGAGAGGGCGTGATTAATGAGGCCCGGGGGGAGGATGCGGGGAATAAGGGGGTGGGGGTGGGGAGGTATTTGGTGGGGCTGGAGGGGGTGGGGGTAGGAGAGGGGTGACGGGGAGGTGGTGATGGTGGGGGGTAGGGGAGGTATGGTGGGGTGGGGGGGTGGTGGGGGGTAACGGGAGGTGGTGGGGGCAACTTGGGGAATTGGTAGGGGGAGCGACACGAGACGTATAGCCCGTGTTCATCTCTCGCCGTCATTAGCTCGAACACACGTAGTGATGTATGGTGACCGAGCTGAGAATTGGAGTGCTTTAATTCGCCCGTTCAATTGATTCTAATTGTGTGTCCTCATAGCCGGAATGACTTCGTGGTGCCGTCTAATTAAAGGCCGCCGTTTTGTTCGCACGTCCGTCCGCACACATTAAAGCGATCCGCGCAGAGATACACATCACAAGTATCACCCGGGGGGGGAGTGGGAGGGGGAGGGAGCATTGTTAATCCACTGCTGGATGAAGCCGCGAGCCGCCGCCATCCCTCGCGACGTAACGGTCCACCGATAGGAAACTCCAAACAAGGAGCCGATTGGTACTCGTGCCGTTGCGGGAAGGTATTCGCGACCGTACCTGCGTGCGCGCTGGACCGCGCAATTAGGCGAATATCCTCGCGCCAACCTGTCCTGGTTGGGGACGCGCTTCTCCCGTTGCAGCTGTCGGCGAAACCCACGCGAGAGCGAGCCACGCTGCGCTTGTCTTGGCTTGCGAATGCGTACAGCCGCATGTTTGCTACTGTCGATGGATTTAACGTTTGAACGGCGACGCTTGCTCACACGGAGAGAGGACGTGGAAGGCGAACTCGCAGCGACAAGTTCCATCGCGCGCGCGCCTGTGTCCTCCTGATCGTGCACTCGGAGTCGGTAGCAACGTGCAGGGGACTTGAGTGATGATGGTGACGGTCGTTATTATCAGGAGTAGTAGTAGCTATCAGCATCTTCATCATCTTGCAATGCCTATCATCATCGGTGTCAGCATTAGCAGTCAGATCATCTTGTAACACCAACCCATCATATTTTTTTTGTTCAGGAGCAATCAGCATCGGTTACAGCGAGGAACAACAGCGCCATCCCTGTCACCTGCACCAACAGTCATCGTCAAAATCATCGAAATCAATATCGACAGTTACAGCATCATTATTAAGCAGCGTTCGTCATCATGAGCAGTAGCAATTATCACAACAATTGTAACTACTCATCACTACCAGCTACAACAGAAATCATCATCAGCAGCAGCACCAATCACCATCGGTTATCAGCATGCGTCATCGTCTCCATCTTCCAGCAACATCATCATCAGCAACAACGTCACCGTAAAGCAGCAGCAGCAGTATCAACCAACACAAGCGATAGCAGCAGCAGCAGCCGCAAGCGACAGCAGTGGCAATTAGAAGCGCTGTTGCAGCGCCACCGCATCGAGGGACACGCCGAGATCGGAGGAGGAGGGGGGGGGATCAAACCCTCTCGGCCGTCCACCCCGCTGACACGCGCTAATCTCTTTGAACACGGGATTAGGGGAATCAATGAGCGCGTTATTCATTAAAGCTGTCAGTCACGGGCGCCGAGAATCAATGCGCGCGCGCGCGGGCAGGGCCGGTCGCGTCACGCGCCTCCTCCGCCCGGCTGCGCTCGAGGCGGGCAGCGTTCGTTTGAATTCGCGACTCTGGGAGCAATTACACCAACTCACTTTGCTCCTCTGCGCGTCGCGTGCTTTCCAAAAGTGTGCCCGCATGTGAGTGTGGCTGTTGTGGAGCGCAAGTGCAGCGGGTTTTAGCGCGCCGCGCTACAGAACTCGGAAACCACCGGGGTTCCATTCCCCGCTCACGGTCAGTGCCAGTGACGATTATCTGAACCGATGCTTTGGCCTCCCCGAGTTCGACTCAGCCTCAAATGAGTACTTGGTGCGGTGTGGAAACATCGCTACTCGGGAGACAAAAGCGATCGGGCGTGGTGCTGGTCACCCACCCCGTCGTGTGCCGTGTCGGCCTTCATAGGTGCTCGCTAACAGCACTTGCCCCGACAGTCTGTTAAGGCTATATGGGTGAAATTTGTCTTATATTGTGGTTGTGTCCTTCGAGTACGATCTGCGCTTACGGACAACATCAGCGGCGGCAGCGGTATTTGAACGGTCAACGCGCTGCGTTACGAACCCGGCGATCCGAATTCGACTTTCGCTCACTGCCAACACTAGCGACGATTATCTGAACCGGTCCTGGGCAACTCCTAGGTCGGAGGGGCAGAGTCATTACACACACACACGGTGATAGTGCGCTTTAAAAGCACGGTGTTAAACACGGGGTAGGCGAGGTGACTTGGACACGGCAATTGGCCGCCAGCCGTCTCCAGCTAAACAGGGGAATCTCAAACTGTGGCTGTGGTGATGCCACGTGACACAGCGAGAGGGAGAAGGGGGCAACCATAGTCATCTATGCCTCGAGTTTCTTGGCTGGCTGCTGGCTGGGCTCCTCTCTACCCCAGCAATAACGGTTCATAGCGCAGCGCTCGAACCGCTGCACTGTCGCTACCCACGACGAGATGACCACACACACGCACACACAGCTCGAATAACTCAACCTGGACCTCCTATTACTTCACGAGGGCCGGCTACGTGCTAATTAATTATATAAGTTTGGCGATAAGAGAGTAAAGTGTCGGCTCGAATGAGCTTCCCGCTGCGCGCACTTCAAACTGATGAACTTCTCGCGCGCTGCCCACGCGGGGCACCCTCTCGCCACTCTCTCTCACCTCTTCACATCTCACCTCTTCACCACCCCGCAGTCTACACCTGCACGGCCGCAGATGCATCGTCGTAGCGCACACGCGCGTCGTTCCTTGAAGACGACACGGCGGACCGCCGAAGAGCCGAGTCTGGGCCCGAGCAGTCCCCACCGTTAATTCGCGCCACTTATTCGTCGACGGCTGCTTTGTCCACATCTGAGTGAGTAGTTGCGCGATCATGAAATTAAACGGCGTTCTTTTTTTTTCTTTTGGAGGAGTGTTACGACCAACCACGATTCGCAAACGTTTCGCGCGAAGAAAGAAAAATGCGTCGCGACAAATCGCGGAGCAGTTTTGATACCTAGTAGAGGTCCATACTCTTAGTTCTTTCGGTAAAGTCACGTAGATAAAAAATGAAATTAAAATTAATAAAAAATAAAAACAATAATTTTAATTTCATTTTTTACCTACGTGACTTTACCGAAAGAACTAAGAGTATGAATCCTTGCAGTCACGAAAGCTTCAAATCTAGGACCTAGTAGAGGTGTTTTTTTTTGGGGGGGGGAGGGTTAGATCGCGTAAATATATAAATGTGTCGTTTAACCCGCCACCACCCGACACAGCCAGTTACCAAGGTTTGTCACGTAACCAGAACATGCCAATTGATGCTGAATGGTCGACGCGCGTCTCTCCAGCGGCTGCCGCCCCAACAGCCTCGCAACTCGGTTGCAGTCTCGACATCCTCACACGAGCGATTCGGTTGCATGCAACCAAGTCGCGCAACGAATCGCCCAGGTGCTGGACGCAGCGACGCCGCGTTTCTCAAGCCCCCAGCCCTTGAATTGCGACTCCCTCCACAGGTGCGTGCACCTGTGTGGTGCAACGGATAGCAGCAGCAGCAGCAGCACGCTGGAGTTGCAATGCACAGGTCGTCGGTACGATTCCATCTCGGCAGTTGAAACAATGCTGCAAGTTTCTTACATCGCCCCGACTCTGCCTTCCCAGCAGCGTAAGAGGCCGCCCATAAATGACGTCACGCAATTTTGGACGATTTTTACCCCCCCCCTTTCGTCACACGGCGTCACAAAAAGTCAGACCCCCCCTCAAATATGACGTCACAAAGCTCTGCCCCCCCCCCAAAATAAAACATACTTAAAATCGATTCAAACTATTGTCATTGTAGTGCGTATTTAATGTGGCGCTGCACTCTGATGTTGTAGGAGAAAACATTTACTAAAAAGTATAATTAAGTAGAACGTGTTGCCTATATTTATTTAAAGTTGCGCATTTTGATGTGACGTCACATTTCTCAACCCCCCCCCCCTCGTCACACATCGTCACAAATGTCTGACCCCCCCCCCCCACCAGGTGCGTGACGTCATTTATGGACGGCCCCTAAACAGTCAGCCGACCGGCAGGCCCGCGTGTGTTCAGGTGCACTACTCCCACCTCTTCCAAGATATTTGGCCAGCGTGGAAGAGTAGGCCGAAATGATCTGCTGCAGGGGTGCTCTCCAAAGCTCCGTCTAGTGGAGGCCTTTCCAGCAGCAGCGGCTTGAGCCAGCAATTGCAGGGCTCCACCTTTACCTGTACTCGTCGCACTCTCAGCAATTACACGCGAGCGCGTTTTGCACGCGCAGTCGTAATTGCCTCCTCTCGCGAAAGGAAATCGTTTTTAGATGATCGTGTAAGTATAGTTTCCAAATCTTAGTGGTTTTCAATTGAGTTCGTTATTTCTTTTCATTTCATTTTCCCGCGGAATTCATCACTTCTCTTCCACATTACGCGGTCTAATGACGTGGGTGCGATAAATTATTCAGCTCTCCTCCAAGCCGCGGAAACACAGACGATCTCAGCGAACCCAATAGAAGAAACCCGCTCCAGTCCTGCGTCCGTATGGTGTTCAACACAACGATGGTGGTGGTTGTGGTGGCGATCAGTCCACGTGGAGATCGACACGGAGGTCCACAACCCCCCACCCACCCAGCTGCAGCCAATGGGACAATGCGCTTCGTGCGCTCTGAACGGAGCAGGCAGTAATGTGAACCGCGACGTCGAGTTTCCCCATTTGCTGTTTAGGGTTTCCCAACAAATCCAAATCCTCGCCAACCTCCGCACTGCGTATCTACACTTGCACCAGTCTCCTGCCGTCGCGTCGTCAACACGCTGCACGCGCCCGATAATTGACAAACGCGTTCCAAGTGACGCAGAGAGCGCTCGGTTTGAATTAAAAGACAGATCCCGTGCACGCGCGTTACAAACCTGATGAGCACGGTTGGCTACGTACGATGCGAAATAAATTCAACATACATCCATGTGGGTGCGTATGTCTGTTCCACCTGACGGTCGAGAGCTCTGACTCAAATGAAGAGATACCGCACGCGCCTGTGTGCGTGTGTGCGTCCCGTGTTCCAATGTTCCGGGCCGCTGTGATTACGCAACACCTGTGACCCGGCACCGTGGGAGTGATGATTGGTGGATCACACGAATGTTTTGAAACTCCCTTCCCGTGGGCGTTCAGTCGCCTGCCATATCCCAGCTTGCCAGAAGAAGCCGTCAAATCAACACGTCTGTGTTGAGACAGCGCGTGGTTTCTCCGCGTGCTCCAAATTTCTCCCACATATACACGCGAATTGGTCGATAATACCTTAACAGATAGAGGACCGCAGAGCTTGCGGGCCGGGGGGGGGGACGATTTGGATCCGGCTCACCACCTTGCTGCCTCCCCGCTTGTCCGTGGGTCCTCCTCGCGTCTCCGAGTCTCCATCCTCGAGAGTGAGCGAATACTGTGTAGCGCGCTACAAGTTGAGTCCGTCGTGAATTTCAATCCGCATTTGCCGATCTTCAGACGCGTGCAGCGCCCACCAGATGAGTTTGGTGGACGCGGAAAGCCACACGGGTGCGATGTCGCCTCGGCACCGTGGGCTGGGCGCCTCGGACGTTGCCGGAAACGGCGGCTGCGGCGGTGTGAAGCGTAAGAACGAGTCCGTGACATATCGAGGGATAGAGATTGTGATTTTAATAAACACAATAGACAGGAAGGACAAGTTCAAAGGGCTCGCATAATGCACATGCATAATGTACGTTGACTCAGTAATCCCCCCCCCCCCCACATTGTGCAAGAGCGCAGAAGCGTGGTCACCACATCTACGCCTCTATATGAGGAACGAAACAGGTGGACTTCTCCACAAATCTGGCTGTCGTCTGATGAAGCTGGTTGTAATTACTGGCGAAACGTCGTACTCAGATTGTAAATGTTGTGGCTTGGCTCTCCAACACACCGGTGTGCTGTACTAGTGACGAATTGGCCACGTTCTGTTTACGTGACAACCCTCACTAGTTGGCTGTGTCGGGTGGTGGCGGATTTTAACGACACATTTATATTTACGCGATCTAATAAAAAACGTTATTATGGAGAGATGGTGATGCTGTTGATGGCTAGCGCGCTGCGCTGTTAACCCCGGCGACACGAGGTCTGTGAGCGAGCCCGGCTAACAACACAGTGTGGGGGAGTTAAACCTGAACCGGTCAACCCAATCATCAAACCGCACCGACCGGCGTGGTGAAGTATGGGCGAACCACTTATGTGACAAGGCACGTGGCGGAGAGGGCCTTAATCCATCCAGCAGTTGATTCACAAACGGGCTGTACATGATCATTGTCGGTCCACGTTTGCATGTGCCACGAAGAAGGGCCGTTACTTGAAACGTCGCCGATGATATATATACATTGCAATGCTAAGGCAGTGTTATTGACGGGCAATGTTGAGTTTCACGTTAGCCGAGTGCGTTCAGCGTCGCGCGCGTGGGAACGGGCCAACACCTTCGTGTGCGCGTCGCGAACGAGATGGGGATGATGATGATGATGTTGTTTACACGTGAGACGAGGGACATCGCGTCTCTGTCGCGACACTAGCGCCCCCCCCCCCCCACTCGCCCTCGAGGAACCACGTGACACGTGTTGGATTCTCCACATTATAAGACGTCTTATAAATCCGGTATTTGTGCGAGCAGATATCTATTTTGTTGTTTTACTATTCATTTTGATTTTACTTTCCGGAGCGTCTTATAATCCAGAGAATACGGTAACATAAAACACATTCCTGCGGAGGGAGCTGGTAGGAACGTTGGGTTGCTCGGTCAATGGCCAGGGTCAACGGCGGCATGGTGTATTCCGCAAATATGCCCGACTGTGAGGGCGGGCACAAGCCGGCGTGCGTAGGTTAAACGTTGCGTTTTATAAGGGCACCACGGGGTGACCAGCCCCTCTCCACCCAGCACCACCCCTCCCACCCCCCACCCAGCCCCACCCTCCCCACTCAGCCCCTCCCCACCCTCCTCTCCCCACCCAGCCCCTCCCCACCCTCCCCTCTCCGCCCAGCCCCACCCCTCCCATTTTTGGATTCACGACGGACGTACGGACACAATACTCCCCTGTGGGCTGTTGCAACAAGGACGTTCCTACCAGTACAAGACGCCTTCCCACCTACGCTCTGCTGCTCGTGGTGGGGTAAAGCGTGGCTATACAAACGACGACCGCCAGCACCCGCGTGGCCACGGTGGCGGAAAGACTGAGCTCTCGCTGAATGTGGATGCTCACTTGTAGTGAGACGGCGTAAGATAACAGAGCCCTTCTTGTCGAAAGCCTGAATTCCACTTTCACTCGATGTGAGGTCGCTTCTTCTCCTCTGCTGGTCCTATAGACTGCACCCCCCCACCCCATCCTCGTTCCCTGCCCATCCACGATCTCGGGATATCTGCGTCTTTTCAAGTCCAGACGAAAGACATCTTCTCTTCTCACCTGCCCGTGACTGACGGTCTCGTCTCTCAGTAGGAATACAGTATACGCATACGTGGCACGCGTTCTCGGCGATGCTTTGTACAGCGTGTTTCAGATGCTTCGGTAAAGTCACGTGGATAGAAAGTTAGTAGATCACGACGTTGCTGACGTCAGCAATTCTCCTGCTCTGTTTGTAACACCTGATGACGGTTGCTTGTGTTGCGCTCGAAACGTCGTGATTCATTAATTTTCTACCTACGCGACTTTACCGAAAGAACCAAAGAGTATGGATTGCTGCAGTCACGAAAGCTTCAAATCAAGATTGTTCAGATGTTGTTGCGTTTAGATGCTCTGCGATGTACACATTGTATTGTATATAACAACCTCAGTGGAATTTTCCAATCTAGAGTTTGTCATTTTCTTGCAGTTTGATTTCAGCAGTCATAAAAAAAACAATGTAGACCTGTATTGTTTGATACATCTGGATGTCTCCAATGGCCATTTTGTTACAATCTCTCAGGGATAAGAGACGTCTTGTGCTTTTATATTTGGGAGAAAAACCCCCGAAAATAACGTCTCTATTAGGTGAAATAATGTCTATATTTTCTGTGTACGCACACAAAAATCCACACACAACAACTACATTCTAAACATACATCACGAAACGTGTTTGCGCTCAACCTGCTCTCCACCGTCTGATGTCATTATCACAAATGCAGTTGTAAAAAAAACACACGCGTTTCATTATTTACATCCCACTGCTTTTATTTGAAAAATAATTCAAAGTGGAATACCCCCCCAAAGGATGGCGATAGAAAGGGGTTCTTGCTGGGCTAAGAGTCAAGTCCTCCTGAACCTCCTTGCTTTGCGTCAATAAGAGATCCATTCCGAAATCTGAACTTGTATGTATGTATGTTGAACCGCTTTCGCAAGTAAGGATAACAAACTTCATGCCGATCGTGAAGAGCCGCGCTACCGATGTGCCCGAAGGAAAACATTTGGAATCAGTGCATGTCACCAGCTACGACGCGGATTCGAGATGTAGATACATTTCCTAAATGAATTGGAACAATAGCTGAAATGTAATTTTATACTAAGGCTTTCACGACCACAATTATGATTCATAATTGGTTTCTTTTGAGTTAGGTTCGTGCCAAAAAAGTGTCTTTCGTAAAAGCTTCCTCCACCTGGCACCGCCGATTAATAAAAGCGTCACGCGATTTAAACGTGCCAAAATGTAGTACTGATTCAGCACAACGGTGAGTTGGAGAGTGATCTCACCGCGTTTAAATCAGTCGATGACGCCGGATGGAATCTCCAGCGAAACGTCGTAACCCCCCCCCCCCCACCTGAATCAGCTGAAAGTGACTCAAAATCAGCGTGAAAAGACGCGCCCTGGGAATCACACCGAGTCACGAAGAGGAACAATGCTTGGGATCGAGGAGAGAACACAATTCATAGCCGTCGTCCTGCCTGGTAAGGAACATACAATGAGCAAAAACAAAACTCGACACGTTCGTCAATAACACTGCGATGTTTGGGGAAATCATCCTTCTTCACAGCACACAATGAAGACCTTGCCATTGGCCAAAGCGTCGCCTTGCACACGCGTGTATATTTGTTGTTGTTTGAAGCAAGTGTTGTTGACAAGTGTGTTGAGGTGTTGTTGTTGTTGTGTTTACCGTGCTCGTGCCCCAACTGTCAACACAGCAGCAGCGTCGCCAAATCGTTTGTTGAGTACGGAGAGTTGGTGGCCGTGGCAATGCTTATGGTCGTGATATTTCTTCAATTACTGCTGATGCGGCTGCTGCAGCTGCTGCTGATGATAAGAGTACTCGTGGTGATGGTTACACACGTGTGTGCATTACACGTATACACGTGTGACGTGAAACGACGAGATGCGTTCACGATCAGCAACGAGTTTGTGGCATCGCAGGGCCGTGAGCGATTGGTGACGGCGTTTGAGAGGCATTTTATCCAGCAGCGGATAGAACATAGCTGATGCTGATGATGATGATAGTGGTGTCATGCTGCTGCTCACGGTGCTTTGACGTCGACGATGAAGAGAGTGGCACGGAGAGAGGGGTGCAGAGAGCGAGAGTGGGCAGAGGTAGAGAGTGCATAATCACTCTTTGGCACAGCTCCCTGTACGGACATTTAAAAGTGGAATACCATCGATTCACCATTACAAGGATACTGAGCGACTGGGGGGTCACGCGAGTGGGTGGGGGCGACAGGGGGGCGGGGGTTAGCGGAGGGGGGGGGGCGAGTTACCGTATTCTCACGATTACAAGATGTCAAAAAAACCTTGTCGAAATCTGGCCATACGCATACCGTGTTATAAGACGCACACCCAACGAAGAAT